TGAATGTAACAAATACTACTTGGAAGTCCACAAAATAATATATTTAAAAAAAAGTTATAAAATAGATAGACTAAATATGAATTATATCTCATTAGATTAACACTAGATTAAAATCAAAATATTAAATTCTCATTAGATTAAAAAGTTATAAAATAGATAGACTAATATGAATGCTATCAATTCAAAACCTAAAAGATAGATTAAGTATGGATCGCGGATATGAAAATTATTGATATAAGGCTCGAATGATCGAAAAATATTCATCAAAGACTCAGTATTTTATACATTTTTTAATGTTATGTGTTAATCATTTTTAAATTTATTAATCTAAAATTTATTACATTTAGGTCATTCGTGGACAATTTTTAACCATTCTATCCTAAATCGATAGTTTTCACCTTTAGATTCTTAATTGATAATTAGCTTTTCTTTTGAGGTCATAGTTTAACAAATACATATTTATGGTTAAAATAAAGGTTGATTATAAAAATTTGACTTATTAAGTGCATTGAATGTGTGTGTGTGTGTGTGTGTGATAGAGAGAGAGAGAGAGTATGTATGTAAAATTGGCCCATCTTTCTTTTATTCAATTGGAAAAATTACTTCAAACTCTTAATCTAAGAAATTATTTTTATTCAAACTAAATTATAAGGAGCATGTGTGTGTGTTTATATATATATATATATATATATATATATATATATATATATATATATATATATATATATATATAGCATGAAAATGTATGAATAATTGTATTTTTTGGATACATTGGAAATGATTTGTGCATGATGGTATGATCAAACAAGAAATGTACATGTACATTTGATAAAAGATAAGGATGAATACAATGGAACATATATCTCGGAACTCCACAAAACAAGAAATCTAAAGAAGTTCTAAAGACAGATTAAATATGAGTTCTATCTCATTAGATTAACACAAGCTTAAAATCAAAACTCTCATTTAGATTTTTTTATAGGATTTTATCAATTCGGAAAGTAGCTTAACAATAAATTAAGGATAAAAAATGAAAATTATCGATATAGAGTCTTAATGATTTAAAACTATCAATCAACGACTTAAATTATCATGAATTTTCAATTTCAATTTTAACTTTTTTTAATTTTAATAATCTTTTAATTTTTGCAAATAAAAAATATTGACAAATTTAGCAATAACAAGAAAATAAACAAATATCCATATTACTTTAGGTTGGTGGACAAATTTCAATCATTCGATCACTAAATCATATAATTCTACATTTAAAATCCTTGATTAATAGTTAGCTTATTTTTTGAAGTCCTATATTTAAAAAATCTTTTGAAGTCCTTTATGGTATGAAGTCCTATATTTTTGAAGAAAAATAATAAAAATCGCATTCCAGTAAATAAAAAATCAAAATTTATGTATTTTAGGTCCTTGATGAAAATTTTCAATCATCCAATCTCTAAATCGATAACTTATTTTCTGAGTTCCTAGATTCAAAGATTCCTTATAGTATATACATCAAAACTCCACAAACAGTATACGTGTACGCTTGATAAAATATAAGGATGAGTTAGGTGCAACGTAACATATACCTCAGAACTTCAAAAAACAAGAAATTCAAAAGAAGGTATAGAAAAGATAGATTAAATATTAATTATATCTCGTTAGATTAAGACTAGATTAAAATAAAAAATCTCATTTAGATTAAAATTGTTAGCTTATTTTCTAAGTTCCTAGATTTAAAAAATCCTTATAGTATATACCTCGGAACTCCACAAGGAGTTTACGTGTATGCTCGTTAAACATAATGATGAGTTAGGTGGAACGTAACAGATACCTAGGAATTCCACAAATTAATAAATTGAAAAGAAGTTATAGAAAGGATAGATTAAATATGAATTCTATTTTGTTAGATTAAGACTAGATTAAAATCAAAATTCTCATTTAGATTAAAATCGTTAGCTCATTTTCTAACTTTCTAGATTTAAAAAATCCTTATATACCTCGGAATTCACAAGGAGTTTGTGTGTACACTTGATAAAAGATAAGGATGAGTTAAGTGGAACATAACAGATACCTCGATCGGAATCCACAAATTAATAAATTTAAAAGAAGTTATAGAAAAGATAAATATGAATTCTATCTCGTTAGATTAAGACTATATTAAAATCAAATTCTCATTTAGATTAAAATTGTTAGCTCATTTTCTGAGTTCCTAGACTTAAAAAATTATTATACTCCGTAGTATATACCCCGGAACTCCACAACGAACTTACGTGTCGCTAGATAAAAGATAAGGATGAGTTAGGTGGAATGTAACAGATATCTTAGAACTCAACAAAACAATAAATTTAAAAGAACCTATAGAATATATAGATTGAATATGAATTCTATCTCCTTAGATTAGTACTAGCTAGATTAAAATAAAAAATCTCATTTAGATTAAAACCATTAGCTTCTTTTCCGAGTTTCTAGATTTAAAAAATCCTTATAGTATATATCTCGGAACTCCACAAGGAGTTTACGTGTACGCTTGAAAAAAGATAAGGAATATAACGATTAATTATGTGAAACATAACATATACTTCGAAACTCCACAAAACAATAATTTTAAAAGAAGTTATAGAAAGCATAGATTAAATATGAGTTGTATCTCGTTAGATTAAGACTAGATTAAAATTAAAATTCTCGTTAAGATTAATATCGTTGGCTCATTTTCTAAGTTCCTAGATTTAAAAAATCCTTATAGTATGTACTTTCGAACTTCACAAGGAGCTTACGTGTACGCTTGATAAAATATAAGGACGAGTTAAGTGGAATAAACAGATATATCTCAAATCTCCACAAAACAATAAATTTAAAAGAAGTGATCAAAAAAATAGATTGAATATGAATTCTACCTCGTTAGATTAAAACTAGATTAAAACCAAAATTCACATTTAGATTAAAATCGTTAGCGTATTTTTACAGTTCCTAGATTCAAAAAATACTTATACTATATGTCTCGGAACTCCACAAGGAGTTTACGTCTACGCTTGATAAAAGATAAGGATTAGTTAGGTGGAACGTAACAGATACTTCGGAACTCAAGAAAACAATACATTTAAAAGAGGATATTGAATATATATATTTAATATGAATTCTATCTCGTTAGATCAAGACTAGATTAAAATCAAAATTATCATTTAAATTATAATCGTTAGCTCATTTTTTGAGTCCCTAGATCTAAAAAATCTTTATAGTATATACCGCGGAACTCCACAAAAAGTTTATGTGTACACTTTATAAAAGATAAAGATGCATTACGTGGAACGTAACAGATATCTTAGAACTCCACAAACTAATAAAAATAAAAGAAGTTATAGAAAAGATAGATTGAATATTAATTATATGTCGTTAGATTAACACTAAGCATAAAATCGAAGTTCTTATTTACATTAAATCGTTAGCTTATTTTCTGAGTTCCTAGATTTAAACAACCCTTGTAGTATATGTCTCAGAACTCCTTAAAGGGTTTAAATGTACGCTTAAATGTTTGATAAAAGACAAGGATGAGTAATATGGAACGTAACAGATACTTTTGAACTCCACCAAGCAATAAATTTAGAAGAAGTTATAGAAAAGATATATTAAATATGACTAGATTAAAATAAAAAATACTCGAATCATTTAGATTAAAATCGTTAGTTTATTTTCTGAGTTCCTAAATTTAAAAAATCCTTATAGTATATATCTCGGAACTCCACAAGGAGTTTACGTGTCTATAAGCTCCATAAATGATAAAGATGAGGTAGGTGGAGCGTAAGACATACCTTGAAACACCACAAAACAATAAATTTAAAAGTGATAGAAAAGATGGATTAAATATGAATTATCTCTCGGTAGATTAAGACTAGATTAAAATCAAAATTATTATTTAGAATTATGTTCCAAAATTTAATCAATCCAAAATCTGAAAGATAGATAAAATATAGATCACAAGATGAAAAATATTGATATGAGGCCCGAATGATCGAAAACTATCAATCTAAAACTTAAAATATCATGATTTTTTTTGTTTTAACGATTTTTTTAATTTTATTAAATTAATAATTTCCTTTGAAGTAAAAATCATTAAAAAATTGCAATAAAATAAATTAATTAATTAAAATTTTAAGTCTGTCATGTTTAGGTCATTCTTGGAAAATTTGCAATCATTCTATCCCCAAATGATAATTTTCACCTTTCATATTATTAATAGAGAATTAGCTTTTCTTTTGAGGTCATGGTTCAAAAAATAATATTACATGTTTATGATTAAAGTATAGGTTGATCATAAGAATGTGACCTCTTAAAGTTTTATATGTGCTACCATTCAATATAAATTTTAATCTGCCTTTTAAAAATAACTTTAAATCGTATACTTAATTAAAAGTATTCACTCTCAAAAATAATTTTGTAAAACAGTTGGAACGAGGGTATATACTCCGTATTTTAAAATAATTGAAACAACAAATTCAACAAACCAATCGCTTAATTTGGTCTTTTCTCTTCAAACGTGCTTTATATTGAAAATAAATAATAATGGCGTAAAGTTTAAACCATATTAGAATATGAATACGCAGAATCTGACAGCCAGGTGCAGGAAACAAGCAAAGTATGTTGGTGGGACATTTAAAAAATTGCCAACCCTGCATATTATACGCAAGAAAATTACTGTAATCTGTTTAATGACACCAGTTTCTTCACCCTATTTAAACAGATTTCGGGTTCACTGTGGAAACGTGAGTCTTGATGAAGAAGACCGGCAGTTAAAGTTTATGAGGTACTCCGTAATAAAAAATGCACAAAAAACAAACAGAAATTGCCTCTTTTTCTTCTTCTGAGTCTAAGCAGCGATTCCTATGCGAGCGTTTCTAACTACGCATAATCTTTTTCTCGTTTCTCTGCAACAAAATCCATCCTTTTCTTTTTATCTTCTTGTTTTTATCCTCTATATTAAGCTGCCCTCCTCCCGCCCCTCCCTGCCCCACATCCACCCGGACACGAGCAATAACCCCCAACCCCCACCCTCCACCGAACAGAGTTCACATTTAGGGGTGACTATCTCCCTCATTTCAGCCGGATAAACCGGTGTTTTTTTCACAGATCCAAAAGGAGGGTACTCTTTCAGAGACTGGGTATTTCCTTCTTTTTCTCTGACTGGCTTCCTATTCCGTAAATTTCTTCAAGACGGAAAAAGCACCTGTGTACTGTTGTTTTTCTCGGGATGGACTAAAGCCCCCTGATGGCAAGCCCTTCTTCTTTTTCTAATCATTTTTTAATGAGGAAGTTGGGGCGTGTTCTTCGTGGGGAAGATTTGGATTTCGGGATGCAAGTCGTGTTCTTGTGAACTTTCTTTCATTTCTGGAATTCTGGCCCTAGAGGTATATCTCTCTGCGTGTTTATATATGGACCAGCTTTTCCAGTTCTCTCAGCACACAGCTGAGCTGATGACGAACGTTTCTTCTTTTCTTAATTTCTGTGTTCGATTTGGGTTCTTTCATCTGCCCCTTGCTGATCCGCGCGACTAATCGTAATTCAGCAGTTTCTTTCGGCAAATGTTCGTTCTTTGTTTCTTGACTTTGTTTGATTCTTTGTTTTCTCTCACTGAATTTTCCTGTAGTAAAAAGACGGAGAGTTTGATGTTTTGTCTGGAAATTTTATGATATGATTACATTTTTATCCATTTTTAACCCATGTTTTCTGCGTTCTGCGTTTCTGATTTTTATCCATGATAGTTTCTCTCACAGCCGTTCTGCGTTTTCGTTCCAGAAATCGGCAAGAATTGGAAATTTCCTCGTTCATATGCCTGATATAGTCTAGGGGTTTTCAATTCAAACCAAAACTCTCTTCTTCCTTAAGAATTAACTTTATATGGCCATTTTTCAAATTGGGTGTTTTGAAGATCGCAACTTTCTCAATTGAATACAGAATAGATTTTGTATGTCATATATAATAGGAAAAAGAATCAATTGTTTCCTCCAATCGCTTACATGGTCTCTGTATAGTTGGCACGCCCTTGTTTCTTTGGTCTGAATCAAGCACATTTAGTAGGGTTTCTTCTGTAAGGCAGATTTTGCTGAAATTGAATATGCTGGATTTCCTGAAAAAGAAAAACATTTAGTTATATATATTTCAGCCGAATAAGTAAAAAGCAATTTATTCTGCTTATAAGCAGAATAAAGGAAAATAATCTACCAAACAGGGGGGCCTTAATGAACCATTTGTTGTTGCACTAAAAGCATCTCTCATTTTATATGTGTTGATACAGAAAGCTAGCATTCAAGAATGGAGGATGAGAGCAACTATAGGAACTGGGCTGAGTTAATACCAGACGCCCTTGGGTTGATTTTCAATAACCTGTCCATTCAGGATGTGCTTACTGTTGTTCCAAGGGTTTGCAAATCATGGGAACGAGCCGTGGTGGGGCCCTACTGTTGGCAGGAGATAGACATTGAGGAATGGAGCAGGAACATGCAGGCTGAGTATGTTGATCGGATGCTTCAACTGCTGATCACAAGGTCCCAGGGCTCACTCCGTAAGCTCATCGTTACTGGTGTATCTAATAAAGATACGTTTTCTTTCATTGCTAACAAGTGAGTTTTCATGTCTTGAATTCTTTACATTGTTTGTTTGCATTAGGTATAAGCATTGGCTTACTTGTGTGAACCCCAAAGGATGTAACATTTCATAGCAAATTAAGCAGAAACTAAAAACCGGTCGCATTAAGACTCAAAATAAGAACACACAGATTTCAAAACGTTTATGCCCCAAGTATAAAGATACAAACTTGAATGTAAGACAGTGTTCTAAGTTTCTCTTATGTTGTAGAATTCTAAGTCTCTAATATTAAAGAACCAATTTTTGTTCCATGTTATACCATCATTGAGGTCATGTTTCATTATGTAAATGTGGTTAACTAGTTTTAGAAAATCCAGGGCACGTTTTGAAATGATTTTGGTGCTTGGTAAGGCTTTACTCGACTGAAGTGGCTGAATTTGCGATGACTAAATCTGTCAAAAAGTCTAAGGATGTTTTTACTTGGACTGTAATTTGCTGGTCTGGTCTATTTTGGTCTGGTCTGAAATTTTATTTTTTATATTTTTTGCATAAAGATTTTATTTTTTATATATATTTTATAATCCATAAATAATTATATTTTATTCATTTATAATTAAGTAATAATATTCCTTCCAAATTATCGAAAATTGTTATCGTTTTACTTGGTCTGATTACAATCCCAGGCCGAACCAGACCAGACCAAAACAGAACATACCATATCGAACCGGAATAATAATAATAATAATAACAATAATAATAACAATAATTATAATAATAATAACAATAATAACAATAATAGTAATAATAATAGTAATAATAGTAGTAGTAGTAGTAGTAGTAATAATAATAATAATAATAATAATAATTAGGGGCGTGCACTATCCGGTTTAAACCGGAAAACCGAACCGAACCGGACCAGAAAAACCGGAACCGGATCAAACCGGAATGATATCCGGTTTGGTACGGTCCGGTCCGGTTTGAGCTCAACTTGTTGCTGGGCTCCCCACTTGTTCCTTGTAATCCTTCTCTTTTCTTATCCTAATAAAATGCCAATTCTATAATAATAATAATAAAAAAAATAAAAAATAAAATATGATCTGGTCTTGTGTGTTCTGTTTTAGTCTGGTCTGTTCTGTTTTGGTCTGGTCTGGGACGAATTACAGTCCAAGTAAAAACAACCTAACAACTCATTTATATTTAAATATATCAATATCTTAAAGTAAAGCTGAAAATATCAACCTCAGCCATTTTGGTGAAAAACCGAACTCATGCACTACTTAATTTTAGTTTAACCAACATAATGGCAAAAGCTAGTGTTTTGGTTGCAAAAATGGTTGATAAGCTAAAAAAACTTGAGCCCAACAAATTGCCACTAAAAAGCTACTTCTGCTAACTCTCACTTGCTACCGAACGTGGCCTAATTGGGGGGGGGGGGGGGGCTATAAATGTCATGCAACCAACCTGAACTGACGAACTTGGTCTGGTCTGCAGTGCCAAATCTTTGCAGACTTTGGGGTTGCCAAGAAGTGATATGGATGATGTTGCAGTGGAAGAGTTCGCTGAAATGTTCAGTAACGTAACTGTCTTAGACATCAGCTACTGCAACTACATGGGGGACATAGCTCTTGACGCGTTTGGAAGGCATTGCAAGAACCTCACCACTTTTCGCAGAGCAATGCACCCTCTGGAGGCCATTGAAAAGGTCTGCCAAGATGATGAAGCCTTAACGATTGCTGCCTCCATGCCAAAGCTCAAACAGCTTGAGATCCCGTACATGCTGGTGAGCACAGAGACCATAGTTGAGATCATCGAGAGTTGCAGCCAGCTTGAGCTGTTGGATGTTAGGGGATGCTGGGATGTTTGCCTCGATGAAGACTTCTTGAAGAAGTTTCCGGGGCTTAAGGTGGTGGGACCCGCTATCGTGGATTGCTATGACATGAACGGATGGGACAGCTGCTCTGATAATTCAGGGTCTACTGGTTACTTGCCCTGGGACTTTGTTGGTGGTGATATAGATGATGATGATCTATCTGATGGGCTGTGGGAAGATGAACCTGAGGTTGATGTTGAGATGTGGTTTTATGATGGGATCAATTCTATCAATGCCGGTTATGAATGGCCTCAATCTCCTTGACTGGGACTTTGCTTGCTTGCCTACCTGCTGGATAAACATGGAATCTTTATATAAAAATAGTATAATAATATATATCCATATAAATTTGTTCTGTCTTTGTTGTATGTAATATGAGTTTTCATATTATATATTATAGATCAGTGTCTTTTTATCAACTCTTTTATTATCTTCTTCACCTTCTTCCTTCAAGAAAATCCAATGAGAAAAGAAAAAAAGCAAATACCTTGTGTCTGTAATGTTTATACTTTGCAAAGTATGTAATGAATAAACATTATGTTGTTTCTTCAGTAATATTACTGTATGTTTTTATATAGAGTTTTTGGGTTAGATTTGGAAAGTCAATCTGGAAATTTGGGATATAGGAAAACAATAAAGAATGGATCTATCATGTGTGTGTAGTGTGATGATAATAGGGTAATAACCTATGAATGTGTGATATATTTCCGTTCTAATTTGATAGTATCATTTCTTTTGGGCACAAGTTTTAATAAAGTGGTTGAAAAGGTAAAAGTTGTGGTTGAGATTTGAGTATAATAAAGTGAAAGGATAAGGGACACATCTTTCTTTCCAAAAAGGGAAACAAGACCATCATTTTGGGACATTCCAAAAAGGAAATGCAGGATTATCATTTTGGGACGGAGGAAGTATTATTGTTATTAGTAGTGTCTTATGATCCAGTACCCTAGTTTTTGCTTCACCTTTCTTTATCAGGATCTAATGAAAAAAGAAAAAGGTAAAACACATTGGGTTGAAAAATTGTACTCCCTCCGTCCCTAATCTTTCTCCCTTTTCGACTGAGCACATTTATTAAGATAGTGGGATTTGTGTGGTGGAGAGTTGTGCAGAGGAGAGAGAAATGTGTAAGAATGTGTAAGAATGGTTATGAACCACAATTTTTTTGCTAAAAGGGGGAAGAGGAGATAATTTTGGGACGGACGAAAAAGGAAAGTTTGAAGATAATTTAGGGACGGAGGGAGTAATGAATAAATAGTACTACTTGGCTAATATTTTAATACGATTTACTTATATTTTTGGGTTGAAAATGGAAAGTCAATCCCATATACATCTTCAGGTGCATTAGAAAAAAAAGGAAAATAATTATTGCAAAGTCAGGATGGTCCACTCTCCTCTTATTCCAACACAAAAGTTAAAGGGAGAAAACTTTTTAATGTTTGGGTTAATGTAGCAGTGAGATCTGAAGACAGCATTGCTTTCTTCCTAAGAGCACAATAATGAGGGAAGGTGGAGGGGAGACATAGTAGGAGAGTGAAGTGAAAGCTGGGATCCCCAAAAGGTCCCATATCTCATGATTCATCTATTCATAGTGCATTGACTTCCTAAAACCACACCAAGTCCCAAAATTTCCATGATTTTCATGTGCCACTTATTCAAGCAATTAAGGCTATCATTAACCCTTTGGCAGCCTTATTTTGCTCATCAGTATCATAACTAGGATTTGACTTACTTCATCATCATTATTATTACCTTGGTGTCACAAAAGCTCCCACCTACGTTGCACTAAGGAGATTAGATTACGCATTCTTACCCATATATTAAAGTAAAAAGACTGACTACTGCTTCATAACAAAAAGCACAAACAGTTCCATCATGTTCTCAAGCTAAAAAATAATGAGTCTTTAGCTCTATTTCAAATGATGGAACTAGGATTTGACTTACTTATTTGATCAAAAAGGATTTTATCAAACATTTACCCTTCAGAAAATTAAATATATTAGCAAAAGACCCTCAGTTCAGAAAGTTAAGAAACTTTCTGCTGTTTGACAGGAACCAAATTTGAGTCCTTTGGTGGAAATTTTATGTTATGGGCAGCTGAGCTAGTGGAAACCACACAGTGTTAGGGGAGACAAGTTCTTGATGAGAAGTCAAGATAGGGTTTGGTTGCCATATCAAAAAGGGTAGAGAAAGATTCCATCTTATTGACCCTAATGTGGAAGAAGACACCATTGTGATTAGTGATTTGTGATTTGTGAGTGAGGGAAGCACTAGTGAGTGGGTTCTTGCACAGGTGAGATGCGTTTTGGGTAAAAAATCCAGGGACATGAATATATTGAAGGGAATATTTGGTGAAAGTGAAACCTGTCTTTCATCACGTGTGTTCGTGCCTATTTTTGTGTACCCCCAAACAGTGTGGATTCTGCAACTCATTTGGGCTCAATTTTCAGCCTTTTCTGCCACTCACCTCAATCCAACGTGGGACTTTAAACTCCATTCGCATTTTTCGAGCTCCCCAAATCTGAGGAAATTAACTACGGAGTAAATCATACATACCCTTTTCTTGCCTCACTTGGCATTCTTCCATCTAAAATTTATTTTCAACTTAGAATTTTAAAGTTGACAGATGGTAAAGTTAAACCTTTTCTAAATATTTCAAATCTAAATTAAATGTTTTATTGAATCACGAAAATTAAATTCAAAAAACATAAATGTTTGATACTCAATATTATAGAAAAACAAAATTTATGTTGTTCAAGAAGACTATTCATGTGAATCATTTTGGGATGGAGTAAGTATCCATTTTATAATAAGCACTTTAGTTGTACTGAAACTTTTAATCTGACCTAATCTGATGTGAATGGTCTGATTTAACAAAGTCTGGTCCGATCTTTTAAAATTTAATAATTTGGACTCATCCAATATGATTTGAGATTGAAATTTGTTCAATTAAAAACATTCTAAACAATATTCATAGTTTTAGAATTCACGATGATATTAGGATCCGTGTAGTTGAGTGCATCACAATTTGAAACTGGACCGATTCTAATAGCTAAAATTTACTCCCTCCGGATCTTTTTAAACTTCACACTTTCCTTTTTTGGACGGTCCAAAATAAACTTCACACTTCCTTATTTCCTTATTTGACAAAGAAATCTACATCAAAACAGTGTTAAACATTGCTAAACAGTGTCAAAGAGTGTCTCAACAGTGCCAAACAGTGTCTCAACAGTGTACTTTATAGTAAAGTCAAATTTATTTTCTTAATCAATGTGAAGTCAAACTGTGAAGTTTAAAAAGATCCGGAGGAAGTACTTTTTAATATGGTGTAAAGAACTCTCCATTTCTCATCTTATTTGGACTCGTGTATTTTTTATTTCTTCAAAACTTTAGCAATTAAAGATTTCATTGCGTCATTTTGAGAAAAAAAATAATGAGACATACTACGTATTACTTATGAATTTGTAATAGATAATACGTAGTATGTCTCATTATTTTTTTCTCAAAACAAAAATAATTGACGTGATCAAACTCGGGACCTAACTCTTGTGGCACTCCCTCGCCACAAGTTGAGCTAAAGCTGAAACTTTCTCAATTTGCAACCTTGTATGATTAGTTGAACCAAGAGTGATTTGAAATCACCTATGGAGACAAAATTAATACTACGTACGTAGTACGCAAAAGAACAGAGAATTTGAATAGTAATAATTCATCAATTGCATGTTGCTATCGCCTATCATTCTATCAATGTTCCCGTACAAAAAAGAAACAAGATTTTGCATGACTAAAGAGTAAAATAATATCCTAGAATGCCTCTTTGAATGATTGTAAAATGAATACAAATTTAAAAATTTCCATAACTGTGTGCAAACTCAGTTCCTATACGGTGCAACCGGCATATCTTGAGCATCATGTTCCACTCCTCAAAACGATGTAATTTTGCACAATTTTTAAAAAAAATCGCATGAACAATACACACGTGAACAGGACATGCGTGTACAATAGCTATTTCTTTTCTTTTTATCCCAGTAGCATGAATGATGTAACTCGCGTGTAAAGATATGTAACTCGCATTATTGATCAATGTAACTCAATCCCGTTCGAAATGTAACTCGTCAAATACATAGTATAAGAAATAAAATATTGATTTCAATGTAAATAATGAAAAAAGAGAGTCTAATTGCACAATTGTTTTAGGTAAATTGTAAATATGTTTTGTTTTCGGTATCATGACCATAAAAAATACTCCCCCCGCCCCTTGTAACTTTGCCAACTTTCTTTTTTTGGTTGTCCCAAAAACTTTGCCACTTTCCCTTTAAATCAATCAATTTGTGGCTTATGTTATTTCTCTCTCCTCTGCACAAATCTCTACCACACAGTTTTTACTTTATCAAACTTGGCAATCCTTTTAGGGACGAAGAGAGTATTTTTTTTAAAAAAATCAATTTTTTGTTTCAATATGAGGGGTTGATTTTTTTTATGTAACTCGAATTACAGAAAATGTAAATTACATGAAGCGAGATGTAACTTGATGAAGAAAGTTGACATGTAACTCACACTAATAGATACTCCTCCGGTCCTAAATAAACTTTACACTTTCCTTTTTGGGTAGGTGCAAAATAAACTCCACACTTCTTCTCTCTTCCTTATTTAGCAAATTATCTACATCAAAACAGTGCAAAACAGTGCAAAACAATGTCAAATAGTGCCAAACAGTGTCACAACAGTGTACTCTACAGTAAAGTCAAATTTATTTCCTTAATTTGTGTGAAGTCAAAGCGTGAAGTTTATTTAGGACCGGAGGGAGTATGTAACTTTAGGCAAATGGTGGTGTAACTTGAGTGTGGGTAAGATGTAACTTGGTGAGGTCTAATATTATTCATAGCAGTCATCTTCAACATGTAACGACGGTGAGTCTTCTTCATTAGAATCAGAACTTTCATATTCAAAACATAGATACGAAGGAAAATCAAGAGACCCAAGCATCTAAATTAATTGAAAGTCATATAGACACCCAAGAGTCTAAATTAAATTCATGGAAATCTAGGAAACAAATCTGTGACAGAGATGAAATCCATTCACAGCCTTCATCGAGAGAAATCTGCGACGAAGATGAAATCCAAGTTCACACTTGGGAGCCTTCAACTAGACAAATCTAGGAGAGTAGGAGATCAACAATGGAGATGTGAATTTAGTGCGGTCAAACACGAAAAAGACAGGAATGAAGCACCTGGATCCCCATCTACGACGGCAGATTGGACGGCCATCTCCGACGGTAGTTCTGGAAGACTACCAACGACCAGACGAAGCGTGGTAAAGCAGGGAACGAAGCAGATGCAAAATAAATGAAGGAGCAATTGCAGAGGGCATGTGAGGCTTTGTAATTTTTTTGAGAAAGAACGGTATCGTTTTGGGGTCGGTACACCATGAGGATGGTGGACCGATCCCACGGTATAATTTGTTGTACAAACTAATCTATGCGTGGGACCCTAGCTAACTCCCCAATGATTGGGTTGGGGCGCAACACTTTTCCTTTTTTATAAATTGAACTTCGTGTCTGATGGATCGTGTACCCGGGGGGTAGCTTATCCGAGGGGTTATTACGGGGAATAATAAGAGAGAAGTCAGAGCAAGTAAGTATAGAGAGAGAAAGTATATTTAGAAAGTATGCAGCGTTTTCAGCGTGGTTACAAATGGGGAAATGAGGTGCTATTTATAGTAGCAATAAATGCCGGACAGGGACACATGTCAAGCGTTCATTGGCCGAGGGGTCACCTCAACTGGTTGGCGCTGGCAACCGCATGTGGCCGCATTTAATGCGGCTGTTGGATGGGACGTTGTACA